TGGTAAAATACTATATATACTATATACTATATATATATAGTATGCTATATATATATACAGTATATATATATGGTATATATATATGCTGTATATATACACATATATATACAGCATATATATATAGCATATATATATACAGTGTATATATATATACAGTATATATATAGCATATATATAGCATATATATACATATGCTATATATATAGTATATATATAGCATACTATATATATAGCTATAGTATATAGTATATATAGTATTTTACCATAGTAAAATGATTTTCAACTTGGGTGGTATTGCTCTGTGGCCTAGAGTTCTCAGATAAATCAACTTAATCATTATTTGCCTATTAAAAAAAGATTACTTTTCTCCACCCACCTGTTAAATAGCATGGGGATATTTCATATTGGGCAGTCCTAAGCCATACTCAGAATGGCATGTTCCCCTGTAGCCCTTTATATCTAGGTCTGCATCTTTCAGGGGTGGGGTGCTTGCTCGCTCGTGCTTTCTCTCTCTCTCTCCTCTTCTCCCTCTCCCTCTCTTTCTCTCTCTCTCCAGCCAACACACATATTCTCTGGCAAAATTAAAATTTAAAAAAAGGGATGCTATATTTATTTATTTATTTGTTGACTGAGTGAGTGAGCTAGTATGTAAACATGGAAAACATTTAACTTCACTGTAATCCATCTCATGAGTTGTCTGTGGAACTGGGAGAAGCTTCCATTTGGGCAGTCTTAGTCACTAGAAATATTTTCCATGACACTAAAATTCTGTAGTTTCTCTGGTTACTGTGGGTAGAATGACTGAAAGATACACCAGCGACTGGGCTGGAATCCACTGGGATGGTTAAGGCTGATGGTCTCATTTCATACAGCTTTGCCTGCATTCTGTGGTGTACCATATATGATGTTAACACCCCTTTATAGAGTTGATTGTTTCTAGCTTCCATTCTGTCTCGGCCCTGTCTAGGTATTTTAGATGCTAGAAACATTTCAGGACTAGCAGTTGGCATAATGGCTATGTCATTGGACTCCCATGCAGTCGACCACAGTTTGATCCCCAGACCCAGTGGCTTAAACTCAGGTCAGGCACATGTGTGTGTGTGTCTAAGATCCTGAGAGGAGAACAGAGGAGAAGGGATTGTGGCGTGGCCATCCCCCCCTTGGGGGTGATTTCTAGCTTTCTGTCTCTCTGTCTCTCTCTGTCTTTCTGGTGAGTGCACACGCCCTATACCAATAACCTCTCCGCAAAAAAAGAAAAAGAAAAAGAAGGTAGAAACTTTTAATATGTGGTTTCACCACAGGCAGATACTTGATTGGAAGGAGATGGAGCAATGCAAGAATGCAAGACATTGTTCATGTCAACCCCTTCATTTTTATTTTTTGTAATTCTCATAAATGATTGTGTGTTTTGATAAATAACTATCATCTATGTCATCTTTTTAAATTTTTTTTATTATTTTTTAATTTGCCAGAGAGCACATGAACTCACCAGGGAGAGACAGAGACAGAGGGAGAGAGCCCACAATGGAACACCGTCACACCACAATCCCTTCTCCTCCATTTCTCCATCCTGTTGGGATTTGAGCCATGTACACTCCTGTTCCCTACATGTTTTTCTAGCTACCAGGACCAAGATTTCAATCACACAGTCAACAACATGGGATTTAGCTTCCTTACCCAACTTGGCCAAGGGGTCAGTGCTATTTTTTTTTTTTTATTTGCCAGAGGGAACATGTGCCCACCAGAGAGAGACAGAAGCAGAGGGAGAAAGCACCCCCCCAAATGGGATGTAGTCACACTGCAATCCTTCCTCCTCCCATTCTTTATTCAGTCAGGATTTGGGCATTTACATCCATGTGCCTGGTGTGTTTCTTTAAGCTACCAAGGCTAGAATTTAAACTGCTGAGTTGGCTGTGTGGAATCCAGCCCACTTAACCAGTAGGTCACCAAGCCAGCACTATCATCTTCTTCTGCATAAGGAAACTGAAGGTTAATGAATGAAGTGCCCTGTCTCAATCAGATCTGAGCCACAGAGCCTTCTGAAGCCAGTGACTGATTTCCCCCTACCCTGCCGCAGCGGTTCCATGATGGAAATCCAGGAAAGATTTGACTGGGATTATGTAACCTCCTTCCCATTCCTAATATTCTGTTGTTCCCCTGTTCTTTCTCATCTGGGGAAAACCCAGGTAATGAACTTGTGGCTCTAGGTTTTTTAGAAAGGAGAAAAATACTTAAGATCTAAATTATCTTATGTTTGGCATTTAAAATGAGAAAGCTTTCTGCAGTGAGGGTCATAGTAAAGAAAAGATCTCACTGCATCCTTTATGGTTAGGAATATTCAGATTTACCCCGTTTCCATTGCTTTCAGGATCAATGCTTACATTGAAGAAGAAGTAAAAAGACGTCTTCAGGATTTGCATCATGTGATTGGTGGTGACAGCAAAACATCTGCCGATCTGATGAAGGTGAGCTGAAGGAGCTAAGTAATAGTCTTTCCTTTTTCAAGGTGACCTTATAGATAAGCAATTAATAGTGGTATTATTTATTTATTTATTATTCATTATTCTTTCTCACTGTGAAAATTTATGTATAGAATGTTCTAGAAAAAAATAATGTTGCTTGAGTGGAGCTTTAATATTACAAGAAGCATCAATTTAAAAGTACCTTTATTATTGATATTTAGTAATTCTGGGAAAACTCCTAAGGAAATATAAAGTTTCCCAAAATATTTTATTTACTTTATTTGATTTATAAATTTCTACCTATAACAATGTTCTGTTTTCTCCTAAAATACAAACAATTCTCATATTTTTTAATTTATTTTATAGCTTACTGGGAGTAGAAATACAATTTTGGTTTTTGGGCACTCACACACATGGGCCTGGCAGGATTTTCAAGCCATAGGTCCATGACTTGTACCATGGTCAGCCACGTGAGAGTCGTGTGCCTTAACCACCCTGCCTCCTGTTGGCCTGGGAAGATACATATTTTTGGCAAGTCAACTTTTACCAAAATAGACAACTCATTGCTCTCCTACACATTAAAAAATATGCTAAGGAACTCTTAATATTATCCTTAGAATTTTAAAATTGGGAATGAATGGTTCAGTTCTCTTAGAGGCAAGGCAGGTGAATCAAAAGTGTCATATTTACTTTGAGAATATAAATTCTATACTTTCTGTAGAATTTTGTCCCTATAAATACTTCTAATTGAATCCGTTTTTTCCCCTCTTCTATGAACATGCTATAATTTAATATAGAGGGGTTCTTTATTTTCTTTTCAGGATAATGAGAAACTTCACAATGGCACCATTCAACGTAAGCTAAAATATGAGGTAGGTAATGATTTTTCAGATTGATAGGGCCACCTTAAATTATGGCATGCTCATGTGATTAAATTTTCTTAATGTTTAGTTGCATAATTAGAATTTTGAAGTCCTAGTGAGATTAATGGCTAATCGGGAAGGCAAGCTATTATATGGACTTAAAATTGAATGGAATCCTGCAGGTCAAAGACTGCTCTGACTTTATTTGAATGGCATGTGACCACGTGAAGCGTGGCCCAGTTTTCATTCGTAACAGGATCTTTTCTTTTGGTCTGCATTTAAAAGGCAGAGTTACCTAATCAGAATCAGATACAGGGTTTGGAAACGAAACTGAGTACTTCTCAATGTTTTAAAATCCCTATTCATTTTATAGACTGTGAGCTGGCAGTAGTACAAAGGAAGTACTCTAGATTGATGCTCTTATTTCTCTAGTGAATTGTCAAACCAAGGTTTATTTGGGCATACAATTTGTAAGGTTTTACTTGTATTTTCCTCCACTAAGGGGCATGTCCTTCCCTTATATTGCTAAATTAAATTAAAACAAAATGAAACCAAAACAAATAGGTGATAGAAATCTTCCAGATGGTGTCCATACATTTCTGAACAGAGAGTGAGAGTGGAAGTTCCATGGAATGCTTCGCTGACTTTGACCATGGTCACCCCTCCCATTAGGCATCTGTAATGGCACTATGTTCCTCTGGACACCTATTGCCTTGACAGGTAACCTATTCAGTCAAGATGTTGCCTGTCATTTCTTTGTGTCCACAGTGCCTAGCACATGGCAGGCACGCAGTCAGCCTTCCACAGTGGTGGTCTATAATTAACAGTGATGATAATTTTATCAGACATAGATAAGGACTCTTATGAAACAAACCAAAAGGAGAGAGAAACGTTACCTGGGTTGGAATACTTCTACATTTCTTTTTGGCCTTGCTGTGTGATTTTCGTTAAGTATGCCCTGACTTCTTTTTGCCTTTTGGACATACGGTAGTGGACTTCCTTTCACAATTAAATTTCACCTTTTAAACATTGAATCAAAGATTTAAAGTTTGGGATTTATTTTAGAGAAAATGAAATATTAGACAAAGAAATGGATATTGTAGATCAATGTATACAATGTATTTCTATTAAAAATATCAGTGATTCTAAGATATATGGTGTAGAAATGAGTGTTCTATGTAAGAATCAGATAATCTATTCTTAAATCATGCATCAATCAATACAAATGAATTAGACTTTTCTGTTAAACCTCTGAATTGATCCATCTGATGAAACCAATGACTACAAAATCATCGTGTGCCAAAGAATTGCAGAAAAATAACACTAGATCCCCATTTCAACTTTTTCTGACATCTTGAACAGAAAAGGCAGTCTTGGCCAGCACAGTATTTCACCTCACCTCTGCCCAAAGATGCTGCTGATGCCTTCAGCACCAGTAGAGAAGAGAAGAGGGAGGTGGGTCAGGACAACCCCCAGAGGCATCCCATGACTAGAAGCATTTCAGGCCTTCATACTTCCTGTTCAGCGTCACAAGAGAGAGTCCATCAGCAGAGGGAATGTTCCTCTCATTGTACTGAGCACGGTGGCCATTTTGAACCCAAATGTTTTAATCTACCTGAAATCTCTTTCCTTAATGAAAGCAACATCTACAGTACAAAAGATTTTAAAGGTCATTCAGGACATTTTAGTGATTCGATGTCTTCTAAAGATGAACACAGCTTGGAGATTGAGTCCAACTGGACTTTGCTTCAACATACCTCCCAAAAAGTGTCTGTAAATAATGCAAGCCGGCAAGCCAGGCAGAGCAAGGTACTTTGCTTTGTTCTCTCTGAAAGTGTTTCTCATGAGGAAGGCACATCTGCTGGAATTTCAGAGTTTTGCGGTGAGCAGCAAGATGAGAAAGAAGCAGATACTGAAAAAATTAGCCGTCCAGTGTCACTGATGAATATCAGGACAGAGGGGAGCAACACCCTGGGATATTTTTACCACAAGGTCTCAGACCTTTATAAGGATACCAGCAGTCACCTGGTACAGGCTGGCGCAAAGGTGATCAAACAAGCCAGGCATGTGGGGAGCCTGTGGGACCCTACTGGGCTCACCTCCCACGTGACCTCATTCATCAGGGGCCTGCCGTTGCTGAAGCACTTACCTCTGGACATGCCTTTGAAGTCATACATGGTGTCATCAGGATCTTATTCTTTCCAGGAAACTCAGGTTGGCAGCAGCAGAGAAGCAGGGAGCCTTAGACCAGCTGAAAGCACTGTACCTTACACAGCTTCTGCCTTCATGGCTACAGGCCCTCTAGGTTCTTCTGCAAACTCAGTTTTCCACCTTAAATATGAAGATGCTGAAAAGAGCTCTGCATTTAGTCAGACACTTGTGCAGTTTCCAGACCAAATGTTGAAACTCCAAGAGTGCTCTTTGAAAGAGCTTCTTGAACATGTGACTCCTCCTCTCCTGGTATCTTTGGGTGACATGAATGAAGTCAAAGGCGTTTACTGGCTTGCTGTTGCTAACTGCACAGAACCCAACCCTCAGCCAGCATGTTTGCTTCTGCTTCAGTCCACTTTATATGCTTTGGTTCTGTCAGACAGTCACCTGGGTTCAATGAGCATATTTCATGCTCTCCCTCTCTCTGGACTCCAGGAGATTCACATCAGCTTTGGTGGACAGAGTGTTCGATTCCTGAGCTCTGCAGAGGATCCCCTGCTTACTGTATTCAGTTACAATAAACACCTCTCTCAACAGATATGCCGAGACCTCCTCAGCATCATGATATCAGCTTCTGATGCTGCTGCCTGTGCTCATCATCCTTTGCTCCAGGAAGATCTCGTTCAGCTTTCTCTTGATTGGAGAACAGAAATCCCTGATTTAGTCTTGTCAAATGGGGTTAAGCTATCATCCAAATTCCATACAACCTTGGTTGACTTGATTTACTTTCTTCATGGAAACCTGGAAGTCAACATTCCCTCTCTGGCAGAAGTACGCCTACTGCTCTACACGACAGTCAGAGTCGAGGATGAGGCCAGCCCTGACCAGTACCAGTCGCTGGTCCTTCTGAACACCCACCTTGCACTTGTGAAGGAAGATTGCGTTTTTCGTCCACACACTCGTCCTCTAAATATACCTCCTCCTCCACGTGCACAATTTGAAGTAACTAAATGCTGTGCCTTAAGTGATTTCAGGTGTGTTGTTGTGCCAGAGAAGACAAAGTTAACAGTAGAGCTCATCTTCTTACAAAAACTGGAACTTGCATTGGACTCAAGAAAGAGTCCATATGAGCACCTTCAGGAAGCCCCCAATGTGCAGTTGTTCACTCCATTAGATCTTCAGGGTAGTCAGCATGTAGCCCATGAGGTCTGGAAACTAACTCTGAATTCCCAAGATGAGACTCTATGGCTCATCTCACACTTGACAAGACTCTAGCAAAGGAGACTTTTAAAGACATTCTTCTTCTTCTTCTTTTTTTTTTTTTTTTTTAGCTTTTTAATAAAATAAACATTATGAAATTAGTCAAGGGGATGTGAATATCTCAATGTAGCTAATTAAATTGGAACTAGAAAAATGCAGAGCTCTAAAGTTGAAAATGTAAATATTTTAAATATCTACAATAAAATAAATATAACTGACAGCAGATGTTGATAAAATATTTTTTTTAATCTATAACTTGTTTCATTTTTCTCAAAACTCAGATTTATAAATTTAGGTCTACCTCTTTATTTGTAAGATGATTAAAGCATTTTCCGATTTCTTGGCTTCATGTAAATTTATAGTGAGGTGGCTTGGAATCTGTTCGTGCCTGCTGGATCTCGGCAGGCTAATTTGTGCTGCCTGAAAAAGTGCCCAGTCTGCCAGTGACCTTCATTGACATCCTCCATCTTAGCGGTGATTAGGACAGCTATGTAGCAGAGCACATTAGTAATGCTTCAAGCTCTCTGTAAAGATCCAGGGATTTAAAATCCCCTCCCATCTCTGTAATGCGTGAGATCGAGACAGCGATGCATGCCCATGCCCTGCAGTGTCTTCTTCCTCAGTTAATTGCCCTTTCCTTTTCTTTCATACTTCTTGACTGCTCTCTTCCAACATACATGATTTCAGCTCTTTTCTTGTTGGTTTATTTTTGAGTACTCTTTCCTCTACCCCATTTCTCTCCTTCCACATTCTAGTTCTTTCTCTGAACTTTGGTATTTCCATCCTAGAAAGGCTCTTTCTTCCCAGAATCTAGCTTTTTCTAATCCCTGCTTTCTGCTGTCTTGTCAATTACCCTGTCTCTTCAGCACACATTCAGAACCTTTCCCTGACTGCTCCCTCTTGCCTCTCTCCTAGCGCATCCCTTAAAACATGTGAACTGGTGTTGCACTGACCTGATCTAGTCAGCTTGCTGGTGAAGTCTTGCACATCCCTGCAAAGTAGGACTCTGCATGGAGTTCCTTGCAGTAGTCAGTTGCATAGCCCCCTCTCTATGGAAGAGGATCCAAACTGTGTTCTTAATTATCACTGTTCTCTGATGGACCCTTTCCTCTTTGTCCACCTTTGTTCAACAATCCTATTAAGGAATTAGTTTACAAGCTTTATATTACTTTTATTTTATCTAACTCCAGATGCTCTGCTGCTATTCTCCTGCCTCTCCTGTGTGTATTTGTCTAAACTGCAAAGTCTTGGAAGGAAATAAACATGCCTCTGTATTGCTCTACCTATCTTCTGCTGTGATCATACTTCATCCGGGGGCCTACCCACTGAATGCTGTACACAGTTGAGTGAGTTGGAGCTTCCATTAAGCCATTGTTTTTTTTTTTTTTTTTTTGAGAGGTTTTTGCTATAAAGTGTGTGCGCTCGCCAGAAAGACAGAGACAGAGAGACAGAAAGCAAGAAATCATCCCCCAGGGGGGATGGCCATGCCACAATCCCTTCTCCATTCTCCTCTCGGGATCTTGGGCACGCACACACACGCGCCTGGCATGAGTTTAAGCCACTGGGTCTGGGACTTGAACCACGGTCGACTACATGAG